TTTTTACAACAATTTGTGAAAGAGCTAGTTAAAGGAAATACTCTTCTGGACTTGGTTCTAGAAACCAATGATTCTCTGATAAATAATACTGAGATTAATGATGAGCTCTGTACCCTCATCCACAGTTATATTGGCACTGTGAGCGTATATAGTAGCTGCCCCGTATTCTCATCCACACTGTTATGCCGGCACTGTGAATATATCTAACAGCTCCGTACCATCGTCCACACTATTATATTGGCACTGTGAATGTATCTAGCTGCCTCGTACCCTCATCCACACTTATACTAGCGCTGTGAATATCGCTGTTTTTCCCTCTAGTTTGCCAAGTTTATTTTTACGCTCACCTTTATAAAAGAACGCTGGCGTCTTGCGTATATAACCTTCCTTACCTTGACTGCGTAACCCTCCTAACCAAGCTTGCATTACCTTGCTAATTTTACGTACATTACCTTGCGTATTTTATGAATGATTTAACTTACATATTTACTTGTAGATACCGCCAGGTGACGTTCGTCAGGTAACAGAAAATTGTCTCCTGACTCAAGTTAGATGATGACCCTGTCAGTGGCAGAGCACCTGTTGGTCTACCCCAGCTGGCTGACACACAACATGACCCTGTCAGTGGTAGAGCACCTGTTGGTCTACCCCAGCTGGCTGACACACAGCACTGACCTGTGCAGAGCACTGTGTCTACCCCAGCTGTGAGCCACTGACCTGTCATGTAGACACTGTTGTCTACCAGTGGCTGACAAACACTAGGAGTGCATCGTACTGCCTTCAAATGCTAGTGAAAATAATCACGTCTTTTTATGAGCATATAAAAAGCAGTACTGAACAATAAGTAAAAAATACATTCTGAAAATGCAGATTATTTATTAGTATTATTATTTTAACACCGGCGGTCTCCCACCGAGGCAGCTGACCCCCCAAAAAGAGGAAAAGCTTTAACCGTCATTCATTCAATCGCTGTCTTACGATAAACGTACTGACATATTAAATAATGGCAACCCCGTGTAGGTTACCCAGCGTTACTCGGGTTGACAGCAGGCCAGAGATTCCTGTAGTCTGCTCCTATTTCCATGGAAGAGGGGAGAACAGTATAGCTATTTCAGAAGAGAGACAAGAACACAAGAACGAAAAAATACAACAGGCCTACTGGCCCATGCTAGGCAAAGCCTAATCACGCCCACTCACCCAACCACACCCACTTGTGTACCCGTCCAACCTATAATTTTGGTTACCCAAAGTTCTTGCCTCAATGACGCTACCTGGAAGTTTATTCCACTCATCCACAACTATGTTACCAAACCAGTGCTTTCACAAATCATTTCTGAATCTAAGGTTCTCCAACTTGAATCCATTGTTGCGAGTTCTGTCTTGGTCAGATATGCTGTTTAAGAACCGATGTCACAAAAAGAGTACTGGTTTATTTCCTGACTGCTTGAAGCGCTCTCCGGATCTTGGCGGATGTCAAAACGGGTGCCTTGATGCTGAAGGGCTCTTGATCTAAGAAATCTGAGCTACCCTCCTCTTCCTTGTATGAAACCTAATTACGTCCCATTTCGTAGGCGCTGTGTGACCCTTAGTGGTTTCACACACACGATGGCTATTGAATAAAAACGAGGTGATTGACCCAAAATGTCTGGACAGTTGCTCGAGCCCTGTGACTGAAAATTGTATACTCATGCACGTAAAGTGAAGAAGGATGGAGGGCTCTGCACGCTCTGGGAAGTTACGAGAAACACTAATTTTGAATTACTGAATCATGTAAATTTTGTTGACAAACTTATCTATCGTCAGAGAGAGAGAGAATTGAGCTTCTACACAAGACGGGCAGCAGGCAACATCACTTCATCTAAGATCAATTAATTCCTAGGATAACCACTGTCAGGAACATGTTCGTGCAACATAAAGCCATCAATAAATAAAGTCAATTGACCAAATGAAATCGCTGGCCCACTGATTCAAATAATAACCGCACACATAGTGTGTGGTTATTATTTAAATTCGATGCACTTGCTTCTTGGTAACATCATCTTGGTTCTTGGTAACATCATCTTGGTTCTTGGTAACATCATCTTGGTTCTTGGTAACATCATCTTGGTTCTTGGTAACATCATCTTGGTTCTTGGTAACATCATCTTGGTTCTTGGTAACATCATCTTGGTTCTTGGTAACATCATCTTGGTTCTTGGTCTCTCTGGCGTAACTTCAAACTTATCTATAACACAATGGTTTTAATTTTTGTTTAACCTTGTTCTTGTAAGTCACCTTTTGTAATCATTTGTTCTGTTCAGTACTTTTCTCTTCGGTTCAGGTCTAGGCAGAAATTTTATTACAAAAGTATGTTGTTTTAGCCTTTATATTATGCATTATGCTTATCATTTATTTGTTGGTACTTCTTGTCAGGGCAAGTTATACGACTATGTTTATGATAATGCAGTAATAGTTTGGTATAGATGTTCAGAACATGTGGCGGACTATCTATTATTGACTTTTAAACACTGTGGGCCTGAGTACCTCCTTTAGAAGTGCCAAGTTGCATTTAATTTAACTTTGTATCTATGAAAAATGGAGCAGACTTTCTGCTACTTAAATATCCATATAAACTATACAAGATTGATTCTATGCTCCGTCACCGTCTATGTCATTTATTAGCATGAAATCAGTAGTCATTCAGGTGTAACAAGGGATGTTGTGCATACCATAGGCTTTCCGTTTATTGTATCTTTGTTGTAGAGTGACTTGAAATACACATTACGTAATGTGAAGTGTAGATGTCGCTCTCTGGAAGCAGAGCTTCGTAGCATTCCTTCCTCAAAGTTAGCGCACTATATTGTCACTCTCTTCAAATGCACTGAGCATTATACACTTCTTACTATAGGTGGAAAAGACGTTCATCCACGAAACATAAACTATTTACATAGTCCAAAGTTCTAGGGTACACAACTTTGTCTTCTCCCGGCAGGATGCTTGTATGTTTTATGAAGAATTTAGCAATAATGATCATGAGTGCCCCTCCTTCCCTCTCGATAAAATAAGATGGACGTGGAAACGCCACTGATATGAGAACCATTTACAAGGCTCAAACATACCTCATATTGTGCTAAATCTGAAACAAAGGCTAGATTAGCAGCTGCCATTAGCAACATGTAGTAAAAGAAAATGAATTCTGAATGACAATGAAGATGCTCGAACCAGTTATTAATAATTCCACATAATATGGTCAACTGAAGTATTAATGATCATATAAGGAAGTAGAATAAAAATAGAAATATCACTCTTACCAAAAAATGAGATATTTTTCACACCTATTCTTCAGGCAATGGGCGTAATTTAAAGGCTATCGACTACACGAGGGCGTCACTGAGGCTGCACATGACCTTGTCTAACCAACGATCAAGAATACCTCAATCGCTAAAATAGGGATTAAAGTAGGAGTATGAGAAAGATATAGAAAGTAGTGAAAGGAGGAGGAAAAGAATAAGAGAAGAATTTTGCTTATTCAAATTTGCGGAGGCAGACGATACTTTGTTTGAGGATGGAAATGGATTTGATCATGTTGAGGGTAGGAGAGAGAGATGGATTTTATCATGTAGGGGAAAGAGATGGATTTTCCAGGTTTAGCACCGAGCATAAATGAGCGTCGAGGACACTGTGAAGGTAAACAAAGTTTCATCTCTGGAGGAATAAAGTAACTGAGTGACTGAGATGTTTATTTATGTCTGATAGGAAGTATTGTAAATGACGAGTGCAATGCTTTTGGTACATGTATGCTCTTCATGCTTCGTCCACACACACACAGGATCCATACATAGCTTTAAAAAAGAGGTGCGATGCTAGGTCCTTTCTCTCCCTACTCTTAGAGCAGGGAGAGAGGACCTAGTAGCGATCAGCGAAGAGGCGGGAACAGGAATTGTGAATCGACCCCTGCAACCACAAACAAGAGTACAAATACACACAAACGCGCGCACGCACGCACACACTCACGCACTGCTCCTCCACCTACAGGCATTGGGATGAAGTGGATCTCCAACTAAATCGAAAATGTTTTTCATATTTTTGTATTGTGAGTTATTGCAATTTTTTTTTTTCACAAATCAATTTCCAGTCTAAGAGATATTATCCTACTTCAGCTCATATTCATAGCTTAGCCCTATCTAAGGTATACTACCATCCCCCAGGCTGCCACCCACAACAGTCGACTAACACAGCCAGGTACCTACTTACTGCTAGGTGAACAGGGTCAGTTGATGTAAGGAAACACGTACAACGTTTCCACCCATACTGGGGACGGGTTTAATATGAATGTTAGTTTGTGATTTTTTCTCTCTTTTCATTAACTAAATTATTAAAGGTATTGGGGTTGTACTAGATTGGACGCAATACAATCAAGTGTTTTGTGCCAGCGGGAAAATCATTGGTTGGAATATATGGAAAAGAAGAAAGTGCCTAGTATGCTGCGGTGTGAATAACTTAATAATAGGAGAGGATCTGGTATGCTGCCTGAGAAACGCCAATTTAATTATTGGGTATAACAGGGATCTTAAGGCTATATAGAAATGAACCTTTAGTTGTGAAACTTATTTGCATTACTGATTTGCACATGATATGAACAAAAGTTTCCATAAAAAAACTATTAAAATTCAAATTTAATCTAACTGGGGTATGCGCTTCCCTTGCTACAAATTAATATGTATGTATGAATTTTGTTGAAGCGTCAACTCCCGTCCTCGAAAATTTGTAGGCAATGGTCGACCTCCCTCAGCGTACGAGAGCCACCTCGTCGACCTCCACACCTGGATACGCCTATATATCAACAGCACCTCAGTTTGTCTTGGAGTCCCGTGACCAAACACACGGGTAGTGGGTGTTTTGAAGCTCACACTACCACTGAAGAAAATACAACACACTTTTGGGCAAATGAACACACACACTCCATCGTCAAATGTTCCACACACTCCCTCAAGACGCACTAAACCTCCCTGGATACCAACCTTAATAACACGTTTGTATGGTAATGATACAGTGGACCGGCGGCGGTGACACAGGAACAGCATCCACACATTTACCGTCTCCCTCTCACTCTTTTGAAACTCTCTCAGCTGCTCTCTCTCCCCCAGTCGCCTCTAGGACGCCAACAGGATCAATACCTTCCACAATCAGGCCTGGGCGGCCTTCATGGCCACACAGACATCTAGCTTGTGGAATTCAGGAGAGGGAAGGCGAGAGGAAAGGCAGCATGCTGGCAAGACGCATGGCGGAGTGGGAGGTGAGACGTCACACGTCTGAACACTATACACTCACCAGGAGGACTGATGGAGGCAGTCCAACAGGGAGGGTGGATACTGGGTCCTCCCTCCTGCTGCTGCTGCTGCTGCTGCTGGTGCTGGTCTTGCGCTGTGGGCCGCCGCCCCTCCCAGCGTCCCCCACGTGCGATCAGAGGAAACATCTGCTTGAGAACGTCAAGGAGGGGGAGGGGGAAGAGAGGATAAGCAGAATCGGAATGTTGGTAACAAATGAAAGGAAAGATGCTAGAAGGATGGCGGGAAAAGGAGCAAAAAAATTATTAAAACGAGACAGGTGGAAGAAATTATGACTAACAAGAGGTGTAAGAAGAGAGACGGATGCATACAAACAAGAGAATAGGATATTGTTAACGGAAGGGGAAGTACAAATATGAGCAACAAATATAGAATGAAATAAAAAGAGAATTGGTAGAGAAGTAGGAAAATCGAAATTTCAAAAAAGGACTATAGTGTTGGCGTGCGTAAAACGAAAGAGAACATAATAAAAATATAATAAGAGCTGTAATGATGTGTAAGAAAAAAGATTATTATTAATTTAACCATGCGGGACCGCTAAACCCGTAGGATTATACAGCGCATGTGGGGGGATGAAAGGTATTCAGGCTCAATTTAGGGAACTGGAGCACAGATCCAATTCTCTAGATCAAGAGCCCCTCACCAGCGTCAAGGAACCTCCCTTGAAGGGATAAGAAACAAGAGCACAAGAATAAACATTAATTAGGCATAACTACACGAATACCACCTGGTGGTTCACACTTACACTCGCTCACTCATTTGACCATAAACAGAAATATTAATCTCAGTCTTAAAATAATGAATCCTGTGATACTCCAATACTGAAACTATATACTGTGCCAAAACAAAAGCATTCACATTGCTAAACTCACAAACTAGTATTTAGTCACTTAGCCATAATACCAACTTACCTCATAATTTGTAATATCTTACGATTAAGCATAAAACTAAGTATGCCCGAAATGCCTAGCCATGCCAAGCGTTCTAGTGGTACACTCTGTAATCACAATTTTACTACATGTAAACCAAACAATAACCAAATTTCTGTAAACTCAGCATTGTAATCCTTATAGAGAATAAACTTTGAATTGAATTTAAATTGAATCACAGTAGTTAAGTGTTGAGCCATCCCACTTGTGTGTATGTTTCTCACATTAACAAGTACGCTCAGTGATTTATATCTGGGCATCGTGGAGAGACTGTCGGTGACTCAGACGCCTGTACTCACCTAATCGTGGTTGCAGGGGTCGAGACTCAGCTCCTGGCCCCGCCTCTTCACTGAGCGCTACTAGGTCCTCTCCCTGCTCCATGAGCTTTATCATACCTCCTCTTAAAGTTACTATGTATGGTTCCTGCCTCCACTACATCACTTGCTAGACTATTCCACTTCCTGACTATTCTATGACTGAAGAAATACTTCCTAACATCCCTTTGACTCATCTGAATCTTCAACTTCCAATTGTGACCCCTTGTTTCTTTGTCCCCTCTCTGGAACATCATGTCTCTTGTCCACCTTGTCTATTCCACGCAGTATTTTGTATGTTATTATCATGTCTCCCTTAACCCTCCTGTCCTCCAGTGTCGTCAGGCCGATTTCTCTTAGCCTTTCTTCGTAGTACATTCCCCTTAGCTCCGGAACTAGTCTTGTCGCAAACCTTTGCACTTTCTCTAATTTCTTGACGTGCTTGATCAAGTGTGGGTTCCAAACAGGTGCTGCATACTCCAGTATGGGCCTGACGTGCACGGTGTACAGTGTCTTGAAAGATTCCTTACTAAGGTATCGGAACGGTATTCTCAGGTTTGCCTGTATATATCTAGTTGAGTTTGCGAGGGTTAATCCCAGTTCTTGGGCCTGTGTGTGTATGTTTTGGAAAATTTTGAATGTTCCTAAATTCAGCATGTGTAAATTTGAATAATATAATAACTGTGTATTAAAATGTGATGCTGATTTGACCCTTCGAGAAATTTCAAGTGAGGGGGGAGGACGCCATAGTGAAACTGAATGTGTGAACACTGGTCTGTTAATTGTGCTAAGTAAAGGACCACAATGGAAATAAGTCACTGTCTGACTTTTTGGGTTATCCCAGGTTCTCTACACATATGCTGCTATGTATGATAATCTATGTAACTGTATTTGTGTATGCCTGAATAAAACTTACTTAATCATGCATCATCGAAGTTCAGTTGGTGTATATCGAACTCAATCCTTAATTTAGAAATTTCTGACATGTTCCTATTGAAGAAATGGGATAAAAAATGTGGAAAATCCTTATAATTCGGCTACAAAGACGGAAAAACAGGGGACTCTGATCCTTTCCCCACCCCCGCTCAAGGGAGGTTCCTTGACGCTGGTGAGGGGCTCTTGATCTAGGGAATTGGATCTGTGCTCCGGTTCCCTGAATTGAGCCTGAATACCTTCTATCATCCCCATGCGCTGTATAATCCTACGGGTTTAGCGCTCCTCCATGATTATAACAATAATACAATCCTTCCCAGCAGCACACTTTAGCTAAGTGACGCATACCCATAATGTATAGCAGTTTTGCTTTGGCCATCGTAAGTGCTAGCTAATAGGGTAGCGTTAGGGTGTTACAAATAAAAATTGTGATCCAGTAATTAAATAAGTGGTAATACGAATTTCTTTTCTAATAATCTACTGTATTTTATGTATTGTAGTAGTAGTTATATTTGGTGTCCCCAGCAAGTAAGCCATTATGTACAGTCCACATTATTTTATAGTTTATCATTATTGGTATTAATGTTTAATATTTTAATTATTAATTTAATATTAGGTCTAGCTTTTTCTGAGAGTGGTGATGTAGTGGCCATCGAGGGAGTGACAGTTATGCGACCTACTGTAACTAAATCCCGCTTACCTCGCCCAAATTACATGCACGTAATAATTCAGGTAATACTCTGTAAACCTCGTGAAGGTAATTTCTCACATAATAATTCACATATGTGTTCATTCCCTATTATCTGTGCGGTTAAAAACCTGTCCTCAAAATGTAAATACATTAAGAAATCAATAAATAATAAAAAAGGCACAATACCGTGACTGGAACGATACACAAATAACCCGCACATAAAAGAGAGAAGCTTACGACGACGTTTCGGACCATTGACTTTGTCAATGGTCCAAGTTGGTCCGAAACGTCGTCGTAAGCTTCTCTCTTTTATGTGCGGGTTATTTGTGTATTGTGTAACAAATCAATGATTTACTCCCTAAAAGGTAGTGCCTTGATGCTGCTGAAGGTTTTTTATCAAAGGAATTGGAGCCACCCTACCCTTTCTTATATCATACCTGATTGCCCATTCACCAGGCGCTGTATAATTTCTACGGGTTTAGTGCTTCCTATGAATATAATAATAATAGTTTTAATATTAAAAATATAACGTTTCGCACAATTCCCACGAGATATGCGTGTATGTAAAGCACTAAACCCGTGTGAGTCATTCAGTGAAAACAGTAGTGGAGGCTCGATCCTCCGTCCGCCGTAAGAATTGGGAAAAGAAATGGAGAATTACGACTAGGCTTTTTCCCAAGAGAACCAGGATGTTTATTTTCCCTCTTTCATGATGCAAGAGTCTCCTAAGCACTCGGTTTGCGTGAACATACTGCTTGTTTGAGTACCTAACAGCTTCATCACAGTCCCTGGATAGTTTGCTTGCCAGCAGTCATCGGCATCTTTCTTAAGACGATGATTCTGCGTTTCCTGACGTAAGTTGGTGGGCCGCGCCGTAGATAGTGTCGTCCACACAATTGGATTCCTTGTTTATTGCCGGTGCGATTGCTAAATCTGAGGCCAAGTCAGGGAAGTTCATGGATAGAGTGGGAAGGGGACGAAGAGGAGGACAAAGAAACGGGAATTAGGAAGAAAATTTGCAGAAAAGGATAAATATTATTTTCGATACTGTAGCAAGTCTAAAACATCAGGCAATCTTGCCCTAATTGCCACCAGAGATGTTCATAAAGGTTTTGATAGCTTATGGCATGATGGTCTTATATACAAACTCATTGACCTACCAGACCATAACTGGACCTTTCTCAGATTAATATATAACTTCTTAACTCAAAGAAAAATCATTCCACCTTTCACGGCAGGTCGACAGAGTCTTTTATACCAACAGCTGGTGTCCCACAAGGTTCTTGTCTTAGTCCAATTCTATTCAACATTTATGTGAATGACCTTCCTCAACCAGAATTTAATGATACAATTATAACGCAGTTTGCAGATGATGTTATCCATGTCGTCTCATTAACTCCGGTAACAGGAAAAATCAAGTATGATGAGAGTCATAAAAAAAAATGAATATTGAACTTCGTCCGAACATCTAATTGGGAAAAGAAATGGGAATTCGACTAACACCTGACAAAGTCCTTGTTAGCACGATAGGATGTTTTGCATCAACCCTCGAAGATAAAGGAGGTATCTCCATCAGAGGTACACCTGTAGCCATTAGAAACCCTAACAAGATCTTGGGATATGAAATAGACAGGCTGCTCCACTCAACATCTCATGTAAATAAAAAGATCAACAGAGCCAAAGCCGGTCTTAACAGTCTCTTTAGATTTAATCAAGCCCCTCCACATGTCAAAAAATATCTGTATAAAATGATAATAAGACCTATACTCGAATACCCATGTGTCCCAATGTCATTACAACAAAGACCAACATGCTACGGTTGCAACGGGTCCAGAATAGAGCTCTCCGCTTCATTACGGGCACCAGGAGGAGAGACAGAGTTAAAATGGCAGATTTACATGTACAACAAGATATTACTGCCTTAAATGTACGCCTTGACACCCTGAAGAAGAAACAACTCTATGTAATGCAAGAACTCTACATACCAGATAGAGAACATCCTCTCCTAGTTGAAAATACCACGGATTATATCATCAATACTCCTCCTCACAGGACTCAAAGAATGACTCTCCCACAGAGGGTCCGTCGTTTCATCCATAAAGACGATTACCATCGACCAATGATATTGAGCAACCTCCCTGCAGATGAAGATGATTGGGTAGCACCAGAACCCTTCTATGTTTACTAAGAAAATCATCGCCTCCAATTAGGGAGACATCTTGTTTAACATTCTACTGTTAAAATTATGCTACATTTACTATGGCGGCACACCACCTTGTAAGAAGCTATTGTGTCAAGTAATTCTTTATAAACTGGCCAGAAAATTATTGCCTTCATTGTCGTTTAAATATCCGTTGTGCAATCGCAAAAAAAGGCA